GAAGGGAGGGAGGGAAAGAAGGAAAGGAAAGGAAGAAAAAAGAAAAAAAATGAGAAAGAGAAAAAAAAATGAAGGAAAGGAAGGAAGGAAGGAAATGAAAACCGTCCTTTTCAGTGGTCTAATTAGCAGGAGACAAAATGTGAACAGGGCCAGGTATGGTGGCTCATGCCTGTAATTCCAACACTTTGGGAGGCTGAAAAATAAAATCCCAATGTCGGACTCATAAACATTTCAATTACTTTAGTTTTATTTAATTTATTTAATTAATTTATTTTTGAGACAGAGTCTCACTCTGTTGCTCAGGCTGGAGTGCAGTGGCACAGCCTCAGCTCAGTGCAACCTGGTGAACACACTGGGCAACATAGTGAAACCACATCCCTACAAAAAATACAAAAATTAGATGGGCGTGTTGGTGCATGCCTCTGGTCACAGTTACTTGGGAGGCTGAGGTGGGAGGATCACTTGAACACAGGAGGTCAAGGCTACAGTGAGCCCAGATTGTGCCTCTGTACTCCAGCCTGGGCAACAGAGTAAAACCTTGTCTCAAAAAAAAAAAAAAAAAAAAAAAAATGAACAGACTGTACTACAAGAAGAATGTCTCCAGGACTATGCTGAATCTTCATGATGATAGCCTTCTATATAGTACTGTTTTCTGGGGGAAATGTGAACACAGTGGCCCTTGGCAGCTTATCTAATTTGGTGGGAAATTAACTTATGAATAATGAGAGAACAAGTTTTCCCACTCTATGTATTTTATTAACACTTTACTTAGCTAGAATCTTTTTTAAAAAGAGACATAAAATGAGAAACGAAGGGATCTGAGACCCAAGTCTGCAGTTACAAATTGTAGTTTCTAGGCTAGCCTCTCTGCCCTGGAATTCCTTTTGAGATTCCATTTGACTCTATGCTCCTCAGCTTCTCACTTATTAAAGGATTATTTGACTGCCACTGTGGTGTTAAAATCTTCATATGGGAAAGTATTTTATGATCCAGAGTTCAAAATTCCAATGTTGGGGCTGGGCGCAGTGGCTCACACCTATAATCCCAGCACTTTGGGAGGCTGAGGCAGGCAGATCACTTGAGGTTAGGAGTTTGAGACCAGCCTGGCCAAGATGACAAAACCTTGTCTCTACTAAAAATACAAAAAAAATTAGCTGGATATGGTGGCATGTGCCTATACTCCCAGCAGCTCAGGAGGCTGAGGCACAAGAATCCTTTGAACCCAGGAGGCAGAGGTTGCAGTGAGCTAAGATCACGCCACTGCATTCCAGCCTGACCAACAGAGAGAGACTCCATCTAAAAAAAATTAAATCCCAATGTTGGACCCATAAACATTTCAATCACTTTGATTTTATTTATTTTTAATTTATTTAATGTTTATTTATTTTTGAGACAGAGTCTCACTCTGTCGCCCAGGCTGGAGTGCAGTGGCACAGTCTCGGCTCACTGCAACCTCCACCTCCTGTGTTCAAGTGCTTCTCTTGCCTCAGTCTCCCGAGTAGCTGGGATTACAGGCACGTGCCACCACACCTAGCTAATTTTTGTATTTTTAGTAGAGATGGGGTTTCACCATATTGGTCAAGCTGGTCTCAAACTCCTGGCCTCGGGTGATCCACCTGTTTTGGCCTCCCAAAGTGCCAGGATTACAGGTGTGAGCCACTGCACCCATCCCCATTTCAATTACTTTAATTAAAAAGTTGATTTCAAGTGGCATTAATATTTCAGGAGCCTTGTGGTTTTCATTTGCAATCCACATTATGTGAAAATTCAGAAAGGCTCTTAGGTTTCTAGGTTGGGAGAAAGTGGACTTCAGTAACTCCGCTCTTTGGGAGATTGTTTCTAGTTCATGTCATCTTAACCTTAGGGGGCTCATGAAAGACAACAGGTTGCTTTAGGATCTTTAGAGTCAGTCAAGTCATTACAGCCTGAAGGTAAGACCATCTTTCAGTAGTCATTCTCAGCTCACTACATTAATATACCAACAGTCTGGGCCTTTCTTGCTTCCTCCCATTTCAAATGTCAGCATTGCAGAGTGTTTGCCCATGTTTATTCCATGGGCCTAGCATATTGGGTATTTTTTTAGTCCCTGCTTACCTGGCATATGGCCTAAATGCCATTACACTTGGCCTGACCAGGGTGTACAAGTTGCTCATAAACTAAATCAAGATGTAAACAACAGCTGGATTCTTATTTTAAAGAAGTCACATAATTCCAGGGGGAAATCAGCCTTCAGTCCTTTGCCTCACATTGGATTTGGTCTGTAGTTCCCCCATATAGTGCCAGAAAACTGCATGATTATTAGGGTTTGAGTCAGATACACAGATACAGAGGCAGGGCAGTCACATGCCCACAGTATACAATGACCTCATTGAGCAACTCATTTCCAGGACGTTGGGAAATTGACTTGCTGGAGGACCTTGTCCTTGTAATGTGGGGAATGTCAGTGGTTTATATGATTTAGCAGTAAATTCTGATCTGAATTTCAAAACAATTGGGCAGTTGCTCAAGGGGACATCTGAACTGCAGATCATCTACTTGCTACAGATGGGGCAGTCCACAGAGCAGCTTGATCCCCGAACCAATTCATGGGTTAAAATTAGATTTCCTTCTATCTCAAAGAAAGTCATCTTGGGACATTTTCAAAGGCACTAAGGCTTTCATTGCCCTCAGTGAGTACAACAGGAGAGTTCTGCAGGCCATTTTTCATGTAGCCACCTGTGCTTCTCAGCTGTGTCTTTCTATACGTACCTGGCTATCATTCTCACTTTGTCTCACCCAAGTTCTGGCCTCTGGGTCTAGTGAACTTGTTTGAATCAAGGGGCTAACATTCCAGTCCCAGTTTGGCCTTGGGACAAAGCAATCATCTGCATAATTAGAAGACATTATTAATAGGTGTATCAGAGTAACGCTTTATTTTTTCTGGGTCACTTAAGGACAGTTCCCGTGGGTCCCTGGGAAACAGTTTATTCTGCTGGAGGACTATTTGCACAGAGCTTAATGAGATAGTCACACAGAGCCTAATAAAATCTTTAAAGTCATTCACCCTTTGTCCTATTCTGTGTAGATGCACTTCACTAGCAAATACAATGTAGACTTTGAACATCTGGACTGGCTGAAAAAAATCAAGTGGTAATTCACTTTACCAAGAATTTTGAACTCCCCTAGTGCATTTAATTACCTATTTGTTGAATGGAGTTTATTTGAAACAATATGTCAACTGTTTTGTTTTTGTAAGGGACCAGGATCATGCTCTTTAAGTAGATATGGAACTTCAGATATTAAAATGCAGAATTCAGAAACATTCATTGCCATCTCATTTCAATTCCTCTTTCACAAAAGAAAAGTTAGGTTTTCAGTTGAAGGGGTTCTTGAGGGAAGCATTTAGTTCTTTCTAGTTTGTCAGATATCATAGTCTAACAATATTTTCTTCTTTCCTCATGCCCTGTACTAACTTTCCAATAAGAACACCTGTAAGCTAAAGTGGCTCCATAATTCTCAAATAACTTCTTAGAACTACCCATTTGTAAGAGATACTGTCCTGCAATTCAGAAATTTTATTATGCCCTGCCTTCTTCATTCATTTTCTCCTCATAGTTATTTTTACATTAGTCTGTCTGACAGAAGATAACTGAAGGTGCAAGGCATTTATTTTGGTGGGGAGGCTGGAAGCTGAGGAGGGGGGTGTCTAGCCCCTCCTGAGGAGCCTGTAAGCCTGTAAAGTCAAGCCAAAGCTTTGGGTTTAAATTTCAGCCTGCTATTTACTAGCCATGTGACCTTGGACCATGCTTTAAGCCTGTTTGATCCTGGGTAAACTGAGGATAATATGCAACATGTATATCAGATATATGTAGAGGGCTTAAACTCAACACAATGTTTGTGTAGAGGGCTGAAACTCAACACAATGTCTGGAACAGGAGTATTCAACAAATCATTGTTACCGTTAGTATTATTGTCTGGGAAAACAACATTATTATTATTGTTTGTTTTTGTTGTTGTTGTTGTTGTTTTGAGATGGAGTCTTGCTCTGTCGCCCAGGCTGGAGTGCAGTGGTGTGATCTTGGTTGGCTCACTGCAACCTCCGCCTCCCATATTCAAGTGATTCTCCTGCCTCAGCCTCCCAAGTAGCTGGGACTACAGGCAAGTGCCATTATGCCCAGCTAACTTTTTGTATTTTTAATAGAGATGAAGTGTCACAGTGTTAGCCAGAATGATAACTTGGCTAGGATGATCTGACCTCATGCCACCCACCTTGGCCTCCCAAAGTGCTGGGATTACAGGTGTGAACCACCGTGCCCAGCGACATTATTCTTGACTTCAGGTCATTCTCTTGCCACATGACATTTGCTTTGTTCTCTAGCTCTTAGTAGACTTCCTATCCCTTTGATTAAAAAATGTAGCTGTTGGCCAGGCGCGGTGGCTCAAGCCTGTAATCCCAGCACTTTGGGAGGCCGAGGCGGGTGGATCACGAGGTCAAGAGATCGAGACCATCCTGGTCAACATGGTGAAACCCCGTCTCTACTAAAAATACAAAAAATTAGCTGGGCATGGTGGTGCGTGCCTGTAGTCCCAGCTGCTCAGGAGGCTGAGGCAGGAGAATTGCCTGAACCCAGGAGGCGGAGGTTGCGGTGAGCCGAGATCGCGCCATTGCACTCCAGCCTGGGTAACAAGAGCGAAACTC